GCATTTATATGTCAGAGAGAAAGAGGATCTTTGTCAGAGATCCTCTTTGTCATTATTTCTTCCATTTCCAAAGTTACCTTTGGGTTTTGTGCTTAAAACATCATAAAGGTAATCTTAAGTAGACCTCATTGAAAACAATTTTTGCTGTATTGTGATTTAGTTGTTAAACATATTACTGGGATTTAACTTGAAATACTACTTAAAAGAATTGGGGGGAATGAAAAATGTGTGTATTCATATATGAGTTCACTCCTTGTTTGCTCAGTTCTGCTGGAGGCAATAGATATTGTGCTTTCTTATGTAGGCTGCTTTGGAAAAATTTAAGGCATGTGAAAGAGTCCTTTTTGCAAGATGCACTTAGTATCTTGTTGGGCGTTGGTTCTTGAGGGAAGAGCAAATGCTTCTTGTGGATGAAGAGAGAGTAGGATGAGGTGCCTTTAGATTTTTTTGAATTGTGGTAGGGATAAAAAAAGGAATAACTTTCAAACTCTTTGGTGTATTAGAGGTATTTGCAACTTTATGGTCAATTTATAAAACGTTTTCTTCCTTCTACTGCATCCTCTTTCTTGCTAGTGGCTGCTGGGTTTCCATCTGGACAAACTCCTCTAGAAACCAAACTGGCTGAAATAAAGCTAGCTGTGGAATATGGTGCCAGAGAGATTGACATTGTCATTAGCAGGAGTCTGGTGCTGACTGGCCAGTGGGAAGGTAAGTACCCACCCTTCGGCAAGGAACCTAAGCCTGTGTATGCGCCCGTGCAAGCTCTGTCTTTGTCTCTTCCCCACTCTCCGCATCAGTCCTTGAAGAATTTGGTCCCTCCCCTAAGAGTGACTGATAACCTGGGGCACTGAACTACATAACAACTGTTTTGCTAATTTATGACTAATGGTTGGATTTTTTTAAAAGAATGCTGTTACAAGTTCTGTCAGGTTAGGTATTCAGAATGACTTTGCGTTTTTGAAAATTCAGGTCTATTCCTTCTGTGCCTTTAGAGGATTTTGTGTACAGGATTAAAAAAATAGCAAGTGGAATGGAAGTGAATGCCTATGGTCTAATTATTTGAACAGTTCTGTTAAAACCCCCAAGGGGCTGCTAATGTAGATGATACCTTGTTAAATACACGTTTCAATTCTTGACAAAAATATGTATTTTAGTTGTTTTCTTTTCCCTGGAAGTTGAGGGTACAAATTGACTGTTCATATTATTATTGATGTTCTTGTGCCTGTAGACTACTACTAATTAGTAAGAACAATAATGCTGAAGATGGTTTTTGCTCTAATTGCCTCCTTAATGTACTGTGAATGGTTTGCCTTAAGTGCTGACAATGCTCCTATAACTAATCTCCATGTGAAGGTAAACACATCATTGTCTTGCAATGAATTTTCCATTTAGTTGTATAACGCATTGCCGTAATAGCCTGTTTGCTTGGAAGAGTTTATAAAGGACCCCTGGTACCTGAGTTTGGTTAAGGAAATGCAATCATCGTGGTAACAGATCATATTTTCTGATTTTGGTCTTCCTTCAATTAGCAGTTAGAATCGAACCAAAACCCAGGTTTCTGCATGTGTGTCTTCAGGACTGATATCCTGGTTTCCACTTGCTCTAACATCTTGGCCTCTTTTGTAGTATTTACCATCTCCATTCTTTTGCTCTTAAATATATGCAGCTTTACAAATGTTTGACTTCTTGAGGATGGGCATTGTCGCAGACATCTGTTTCTTTCAGACTAGCTATTTTAAGTTGAGTTATGGCCCCAGAAATTGCTAGAATATGGAGACTGTGTGACTGAGCAGTTTTAAACAAGACAGAACGATGGTCAAATTCTGTATGAGCTGGCAGCAAGACTATACACACACCTTCCTATGCTGTATCTTGGTTAGGTTCTACGCTATGGTCTACAAAGCAGGTACCCCCTCCAGGAGCTGTGCTCTGCTGGGAACACGTATAGGTCTTGGATACGAAATGATCTGTCATTTGTGACAGTCAGTGATATGTCACCAAGACTAAAAAAAGACCACTAAACTGGACTTGAGCAGCAACTTGCCATTGTGTCTGAAAAAGTCTGTCTTGCAGCAATTTCTGACATAATTGTGGTTACCATGCTTCAGACTTTGTGGTACAAACCACTGTTAAGTGCAAGTTGTATAGAGCAGAGATCAAAAAGTTAGTGCATGCAGGCAGTTGCAAATGCAGGCTCGAGGTTATATTGCCCAGGATTACGTGAAGGAGAACTCAGAGGAGAAATACAGGGCTAGATTCAGAGCGAAAGTTTGTATCAGTGATTGAAATGAACCAGACATACATTGCTAGGTTTTTCTATATGGGAAACAAATGTCTTCTGTGGTCATAAATTACAGCGGAGGAGTACATAGACATAGCAATGATGGATGTAGTATAAAGCTGTCAGTTTGCTAAATAAGTAAATTAGGGATGACTTTTGATTTGGTATGCATATTCTTTTATCCACAGCTGAAGTCATGACAAGGTTTAAAGCCATCCTTTTTTCGGCAGTGGTTAGTTTACATTTCTTTTACTGAGCGCAGAATTGAAATTATTTCCAAATGTTTCCTGAAAGTTTGTTTATGAATGTGAATCTGTATATGGCACATGTTTACATGGTCTTGAAAAAAGCTATCTCAGGAACAGAATTTACTTGCCATCCAGATAATGAAGCTACAGGGTGAAAAATTCTAATATTTAACTTGCCCATCCAAAAAAATTACTTCAGTAAGTGGTCTGAATATTTTGGTGAAAATCTAGTGTTCTGACTTCATGTTTAGCTTTCAATAGAGATATGTTACCTGTGTGAACATGCAGCTTTCCACCTCTGATGATTAGATATGATACACAACAATGTATAAAGTACGTTTAAGGAAGCTAGAAGGGATGAACAAGTCTTTTGTAGGCTGGATTCCTACATAAAATTGAAAAAGTCTAGTGCGGTAACTATGTCTGTGTTCAAGGTACTTCATCAACTAGAGCTGCCTTGCAATTATGACAGAACCTCTGCTTATGCTTATAACACTAGTATATTTTTATCGTTATTTTCTCATGCTGCCTGTCTTCACAACTTCAGGAGTTATTGACAAAAATACGTATGTGGTAGAGTGCTTTATCTTACTGTTCACATATTTTTAGCTTTTCTTCTAGCCTGTGCAATAATTGGGGTCACCATTATAGAATAGTGTTGCTTTGTGATTTGTTTCAAAGGCTTGTTTGGTTATTAAATATTTTAGTGTATGTCCAATTATGTCATGTTATTTTAAAGCAGTTCTTAAATATTGTTGGAACTCTTTATGACACTTAATGTATTTGCTACATCTTTACGAAGTAATTGTTAAGAGCTTTCTAATAGTGCTGAACATGAAAGCAGCTTTATTGGACAGTTAATTTAGCTTGGAAAATAACATTAAATTATTTAAGTTTATGAACTTGTATACCTTTTTACAATGTCTTAGCTTTTAGAACAATATTACTTTACTACAGTTTACTCAACCATTGTCTTGTATCACTCGACAAAGTATGTATTAAGCTTAAAAAATCACAATTTCGTGTCTTTAAGCCCAGAACGTGGAGCCTGTTTGTAAAGAGTGATGAAGTTGACCAACAAATTGTCATTTATCAATGAGTGTGTTGGAGTTGCTGTACCTTCTGAAGCTGTATGGTACCTGGGGTACTGTAATGTTACTTCTAGTTCCACAGCTTTTAGCAAACACCTGGACATACCACAGTGTCAGCAGCTTCAGAGGTCTTGATAACCTATCCTTTGCTCTGTGTCAGTTGAAGTTTCCTACAAGAAAAGAGGAAAAAAGAAGTATACTCTAAGAAGTTTTAACACAGCTGCGTCCATGAAATACATTAGGTATAACCTCGTTACGAAAGCTGCCTTTCAATTCTTCTTAATAATTATTCAACTGTGAGTTTAGAGGCTTTGTTCAGCGATTGGGGCCCCCTTTTATGCTACATACCTTATAAACAGGGCAGGGAAAATACACTCCGCATTCCAAAGACTTGGAAAAGACTCCACATGTTGTTCAGAAATATTATAGTTGGATTTACTGTTTTCTAGATGTGCAAGCTGACTTGGGACCTCAAAGTCTAATTGCACAATTTCTTTCTTATATTGTCAGCAGCAGCTCAGACTCCTGAAGCCAAACTCTGTTTTCAGTTTCGTGTGAATAACTGGAGCCTGGAGTTGCACATATGTGGCTGAGAGCAGAACTGAAAGAGTCGTGTTGTGCCGATAGCCTTGTGCTTGTCATTTTGTTAACAAACCTGCCATTGATGTGCAAGACAGAAGGGATTCCAGCTCATTTTCCAGTTTCCCATCATGATCACCTTGATCTTTTGGTCTTAACAGAAATTGAAACATCTTCCCTCCTCGTCTCAGTTTCTACCCTTAACATCAGTCAATGTGACTGACTAGATAAAAACAGCAAATAAGCTGAATTAAAAAATAAAAAAAAGTGGTTTTTATCACTGCATTTTTGGAGAAAAGTTGTTTCATGAAAACTTAAGCTGTGTTTTTTTTCTCCTTAATATTTTCATTTCCTGTGTACGAGATATGGTTTATCCCCTTTATTATGTGATTTTTAGGACAAATGTATTAGACCAAAGCAAAAGGCCATCTAGACAATCTAGGGCAGATTATAGCCAGCAGTAATTGTCAGGGAGGTTTGCCTAAGAGATGTGTTAGGGGGAGGCACGTTTTCTGTGGTGCATTTAATAGCTGCAAAAAATCAATGTGATGTTTGTACTGAATAGCTAGACTTTTAGGAAAACTACAAAAAAGCCACCTTCCAATACTTACCTTTCATAACAGTGGAATTAAAACCACAGCTATGAAAGCATTGTTTTCGTTCCTATAAAATCGGAATTTTTCTTACTTCAATAAATGCATCCAATAAAAGCAGGTCTAACGTTCATGAAAGCAGCAAGGTATCTTAAATGGGTGCAAAGTAGAAGAGTTCTTATGTGACATCCATTTTAACAGCTCAGTAGAGCCACTACAGACTACATCAGCGAGCATCTGGCTCCAAATATATTCTAGATAAGTTGGCTTGCTTTGGGTTTTGTTTTTTTTGTTTGTTTGTTTGCTTGTTTTTCCTGGCTTAAGGCTTAGACTTCTTTTAGAATGGATAGTGTTGGTGTGTTGGTGCTGTGTTCAAGATGCTACACAGTATTGGCCATTTGCTTTGAGAACTCTTGATTGTCTTTTCCCTGTTTTTAGCAGTCAGAAGGAGAATCTCTTGCAACCTCTTCATGGTGGTCCTATGAAATATGAAAATATGCCTGCGGGGTTTTCTGTGATAGAGGTTTTTCCCGAAAGCTTTCTGCCACTACTGCTAACCAGAGAAGCTCTGTCTGCTGTGTCAGTTACTGGTGTTCTGCATAGGTTGCAGATATTCCCAGAACCACAGTGTCCAGCTCTGCTTCTGCTACTGATCGGCTTGACAGAACCAAGTAGTTTAGTGATGGACTTTTTGGTAGCGCAGACTGTCCCAGAAGCAGCCCTGGACCCCTTTAAACACTGAGTGCATTTTCAAGTGTGATTAACTCCACCCATACTTTAGACATTTTCCAGGAAGTTTCAGGATAATCAAGTTACTTGTGTCTTGATTTAAACCTGACTGAGTACTGAAACCTCTTTTTTATTTTTGAAAGGAGTTTTTGCGCTTGTTCTGTATCAAAGCAGTCCCTGCTTGTACTGGGACTGGGGTGCTCTGGTTAGTTTTCTCTGTCCCAGAGGTAGTTGCATTTCTATTTGTGCTTCTACTGTCGGGCTGAGAATGTCCTATGAATGCCAGCTATTGTCTGCAATAATTGGTCTCTGAATAAAGGACCGTATTTATTATCTACACACCTGCCCCATTAAAGTATGCCCACTTTTCCACCACCTCAGCTAACCTGATAGACACGGATGATTGAAGATCCTCGGTTGTTCCTGTCTGTGGGTTGATGCGTGCTGTCAGATAGTGAGACTGTTCAAATGATCTTGGTACTAATTGTATCTAAAAGTACCTTCCAACAATAGGGAAGACGCTGTAGCTGCAGTACTAACTCCAGCAAACAATAGCTATGAGGATATAATTTCTTTTCATGGAATCCAACCTAAATGTACATTTTGTTGATTTTATTTTGACATTTTTGGTGGTGTATCTTAAAGGTAGAGAAAACTCAAGTCTTTTCTTCTTGTTATTGAAACTAGAAGAACATGAAAGCTGCTTTCTCTGGCTTTCCAAAAGCTATAGGAAAGAGTCACTCCACAAAAAGAGACTGCATTTGGATCTAACATGAGCACTGTTACCAAATGCACAAGAAATAGCACAGGTTCTTTGTATTTCCTTTTTGAGTCTTGATTTGATGTAGGTTTCTGGAGTATCATCAATTGATCAATAAAACATGTTAGGCTGCATGCTAGTACTGATTAATTCACACCTTTGGTACACAGTAAGAAATAAGGTGAAGCCTGGTGTCTATAAAGTGACTTGCTGAGTGCATTAGCCAGTTGTCTACTAATGTGTGTAGTACGTCTCAGAGCACCACCCCAGCGATCCTAGCCCCGTCTACCTGGTGTGCTGATGGCATCAGTAGGATGCGGCAGCATCATGGGTGGAGGGGAGGTCCAGCCGTATGGCAGCTGGCAAACCCTACTGTATGTTTCCAGGTCTTGCTTGAGGACTGAGGAGAAAAGAAAGCTAGTATTGCTGAAAAAATTTAGTCTCCATAGCCATATCCTGGACTTTTTTAGCAAGAAAGATTTGTTAAAAGCTGTATTTTAGCCTTCCATAAACAAACTTTTCAATTATATGTTTGAAGATTGAATACAATTCGTGAAAAGGACTCTCTTGCAGAGGATCCTCTTTGATTATTTTATCTTTTTTTTTTTTTTTTTAATTCAAATCCCAGAAATGGTGACTGTACACTGTAAGTGCTGCTTTTCTCCCAACCATTAACACTGGATGAGTCTTAATCATCCCCAAGTGGCCAGCTTCTAACAGCTATGTTTTGATAATTTCTAGCTATTTTAAGTTCCCTATGTTTAAAATTTTGTGGGAGCACTGCTGAATTTTACCAAAAAAAGGGTGGGAGGGTTTCCCTGTGCTCCCTGTGTTGCATTACCTGACTGGATCTGCAAGTTCTAGCCTTTTTTTAAAAAATGCAGTTGGTTATGTCCAAATTTATTGCAGTCCTTACTGAGTCTGTGAAAATATAAAACTGTTAGAAAGTTAAGCATGCCTCTGGCCATGACACTTTGTAGATCCGAAAGCAGTAGTTTGTGAGAGGGTGGTCTGCTCTGGACAGTGTCTGTGAGCAGCCGAATGCTGGCCTGTCCTCCCTGTCCCTGCTTCTCCCTGGCTGCAGCCGGTGGCCGGCTGGTTGAGTGGCAGTTCACCGAGAAGCGGTGAGCAGGTGGGATGCATGCTGGTTTGTTTCAGGGGCGTGCTGACTGCTTGGAGATGAGAGCTAAGGAGAGCTGAAGGTCAGAAGACAGACTTGATAGCCAGAGGCCCTCCAGAGGTGGTGGTGCTCTCTGTGGGGAGGGAGGGGCAACTCCAGGGCAGGGTTTGCTTTTTGTTTTTTCAAGTGGTGTGAAGATACAGTGGTCTGCTTTATCTCTGATCTAAAAGCCTTGATATAAGTCAGTCCTGCTGGCTGCGTCAGTGCGAGTGGCAGTGCTTGTCTGTATAACAGTGGCTCGTGACAAACCTCCTTCCTGATCTCCAGCCGGCTGCCTCAGCAAGCGTGGGCATCAGAAGCGAGGGTCCAGCTCTGCCCTTGGAGCTGTAGCTCCACAGCATGCTAGGCAGATGATGTCCTGCTGGCCCTCCTGCTGCGTTGCCTCCTTCACCCTTGCTGGGGCTGTCTGAGGTCATGGCACAGGATGGTCCAAGTTCTCGGTAACCTTGTGGGCAATGCAACTGCTTGAGGTGGTTCATAAACACAGATCCATGCGGATTTGCTGGTCCTTGGGGTGTGATCCCAGGCCTCCGTTTCTCCTCACCAGGGATATTAGCAGACCACATTGATTTTTTCAGGAAATTCTTAGTTTCAAGAAGCTTAAAGTGGAATTCAGATGCCTAAACCCAGGCATCTAGCTTTATAATCAGGCTTCCCGAGATGGTTCCATGGTACTAGGGAAAACAGTAGGAGACCGAAGGGAGATGTGGAGCCTCCAGGAGTGGCAGCTGGAAGCCAAAGGGGATATGTCATGGCATCTCAGGTGGCACTAATATTTTTAATTAGACAACCTGGTCACACCTTTGGTGTCTTTTAGGCTAAGCCGTTTGGCAAATGTGGCTGAAGGGGACAGAGAGGGTGATGATGTGATATGGACAGGAAAACATAACTGTCCCTGAGTACTGATTAAATGTACTACCATATTTATTGCTGAAAAAGCTGTTTTAAAATCAATCTTGACTATCATAGCAGTTTTTACTCCTGATGTATTCATGAGTGTTTGGCATACTGTGCACATTCTTAGTTTTGGGAGAACTGACACTGATAGCTATTAAGTTAAGTCTGAAACTGTGTGGCATTGTTAATTACCTCCAGTCATGTAATTTATTGAACTTACAAAACTTAAGTTCTTGAGTGCTACGACTAATTATAAGATTGGAAGTTAATCCAGTAGTGGAAATTACAGCCATACTTGAAAATGTCTCTCAGGCAACTTTGATCATTTTCACATGCTTTTATCCACAGGTCTCTATGAGGAGATCCGTCAGTGTCGTGAGGCCTGTGGAGAAGCTCATATGAAAACAATCTTGGCAACAGGTGAACTGGGGTCCCTTGCTAATGTCTACAAAGCCAGTATGATAGCTATGATGGCAGGTAAATATATGTGTTTTTCTTTTTAAGCTAAGAATGTCTTTGCTATATTATTTATGAAGCTTAAAAAATTCTAGTTGCAAAAGTTATTTTGCCGATAGTACGCAAAAACTGTTATGCAGCAATTACTGAAGTTGCAGATGTAGTAATGAAGTGTCGCTTGTTTTGTATAACCTAAAAAACTGCATGAAATGTTAAATAACGCTTAAAACTGCTAAATGACAAAACTTGTAGGAACAAATATTTGTTGTCAAATGCCTGATCCTTGGTATATTTAATAAGGATATATACATTTGGGGCAGATATGCATATTATCCAGGCAATTGTGGTGAGCTACAGATGTGGTGTAGGTAGATGGCTCGTAAGCTTATTTTAAATGCAGGGGGAACTTCCCTGTGAAGATTCGTGCTGACAGCCCTCGTTTCTGCTTTGCGATCACTTCTTCTAACCACCTCTGTACGAGTGCGATTTGGGAAAGCAACTGTACTGGACATGCAATGAGGGGAAGAATACCACGTGCTCCAGCAGGTGCTGGGATGGACTCGGTTATAACTGGTTTTAACTGGCATACTCAAAAGCAGTAGCACTCACTACCGGCAATTAATTGCCGCTTCAAAAGGTGTTTGGTCTTCCCTGTCTTTGAAAACTCGATTACATCTGACCTGATGTTTAGGAGTCTGTCTGTCTTTTATCCTGAACCTTTCAGCTAAGAAACACATTCCCATGAGCAGTAAAGAATTTTTAGGGGCTGCGTATAGTTTGTAGGTGTTACTTTTTTGCATAGCTACAGCCATTGCAGACTGAATGTAGCGAAGCACCCATTTGAGCCCAGATTTACAGCAGTATATTCTCTCTGCAGCTTTGGGCCTGTTCTGGTATAATTTTCCCTAGTTTAACCAGGATTTTAGGACTGTGTTTTGATGCCATCTTTAAGATGCAAAACTGGGAATTGGCTGATAAAGCTATATTCTTTGAACTCTGTTCTAGACACTTGCTTCTTCCACCGTGCTTGAAAGAGGGCTTCAAGTATATTGATAGAGAGAAGCATAAAGATATACTAAGAACCACTTGGGTTAGTCTGTCTTCTAAACTTTCTCTCATTTTTCTGTTGATTTTTTTTTTCCTACTGTAAGCTCTTCAGACCTGGAATTTCTTCTTATTTCAGAGCAAGAAAGAATCATCCAAGTGTCTTGTCAGTATTTAAATAAATATTCAACTTGCTGCTGACCTCATTGTCTCCTTATATACCACCATGCTTATCTACTTCAAATGGAATGGGAAGCATTTCAACCTTTTTACATGCTCAGCTACAATGTCAGTTAGTTTCATTAGATACAGAGGATAAGTATTATGCTAGTACATATTGTTTTTAATTAGAAGAGGTGTAAGAAATACACATTTCCTGTCCTTTAAACTGATGTACTAATCATTATGATCACTTTTTGTACCATGGAGTAGTGAAAAACTGTAAAAGCATTTTAACATTTTCAGATTTTTTGCTGGTGTAGTTTTTTTGAAATACAGCAGATGGCTCTATTGTTAATGATTTTCCTTGAATAGTTATTCATTTTACAAGATACTTATCTGTCTAAATATGTGCAGTAATTTTCTTACTTCAATCTCTTGCTTTTTCTTTGTGGGTAGGTGTAAAAATAAGAATTAATTGGTGCCCGATGTACATGTATTGAAGGCCAGGTTTTCAGACTGACTTGTCAGAACTGCTTAGAACCTTGAATTCCAGTTGACTTTTGTTTGATCTGCATATTTGTAGCATGTTGGGGAGAAAGTAATTTGGCACGGTATGTTTAAATTCTGGCTTTAGTATCCATTTATTTTTTCAATTGATGCCATGATTTAAAAGAAAGAAAAAAAAAAACAAACAAAACTGAAGAGGTGATCTTGTGGATATGGCAGGCCCTGGCAACTTTTGTCTGAAGATAAAAAAGCAACAGCTCTGATAAACTTGACTCCAGTGATTAGTTTTATGTGGGGACACGAGTTACACAGTGTAGTGGATTCAACTGCAGAACTGGCTTTAGAAGTTTTTGCTGCTGCTGGCCAATTGCTCCTGTCCTTGACACCAGAATTTGCTGCTCCTTCAGCTGTGCCGTTAGAAGTGCTTGTCATGCTGCGTTGTAAACTGAGCTTTCAAAGTAACACGGTTGAAAATTACTCCGGAAATGGGTAACTAGTTTGTTGTGGGTTTTTTTTATTATTTGTTGGCAATGTTGGTTTTTTTTTTCAAATGGTCACCTCCTCAACAATCTGGTTTACAGCCTTGCCTTGCATGCAACTGTGTCAGTGCAACTGAGGACATGGCTGCAGTCCTTAGACTGTTTGCATTTCACAGTGCATGATGTAAGCCTATCATGTAGGAACCACAAAATCCTAGCCTTACAGATGTTTACATTGCCATTGCTGAGCATGCACACATTCACCTAGATTCTGAAGCACAGAGCCACTAGGTGTGTTGTAACATATATATAAAATATATGTATTTCCCATGTGTCTCATTTGTGAGACTCAGAAGGCTGAGAGAGTAACACCATGCTGATTTATCGCTAGCTCCATGGTTAAAAAGCTTGCCTGGGATGTCTGGGACTTCGTCTCTCTGACTGAGGTGGTTCTCCCACACAAGGGTTGATTTTACAGTGTATTTGCTATTAAGGATCTCAGTCCCTCCTGATAAAGTTGCCCTGCTTTGCACAGAGCAATTAACTGAGCAGGGAATACAACCCAGTTGTCTCCTCTCTCAAATAACTTTCCAAAATGACTATACAGTCTCCTTGTGCTGGCTTGAGGAATTATTGGTGTATGCTGGGAACCATAGCATGTTACATTTAGTCTGAATCAGCTAGGAGGTGGGGGTTCAGCCGCTGGACGTGAGGCCAGCTGCACAGACTTGAGAAGGGATGGTAAAAGATCAGAAAATGGACACCTCTGCATTGGCTGGGATTTTAAAAGAATGCTAAGGGCCGTGCTTAGGCTGGGGTGGTGTGCCCATACGGTTTTATATTCAAAGCAGTTTGCATAGGCTATTTCTGTAGGCAAACATCTGTACTCTGAATCACAGCCCTTGCAGGACTCAGCGGAAGCCGTTTGCTACACACCAGTGAGCGAGGCTGAGCCCAGTGAGACGTGCGGATCCCAGCAGTGCACTGGAGGCCGACGCCAGTTGTAGAAACGGTGCTTTGTACAACATGCCCGTGTACAAGATGTTAATGCTTGCGTCTGCAAGAACTTGGGAAAAAGTGGCTTCACAGTGAGGTGTGATTAATAATTTGCCTTTATTTGAAGCATTGGCTCTTGGCTCCTCCCGTGTCTGAAACAGTACCTCCAAAGTACCATGACTACTTTTTCATAGTACCTCCAAAGTACCATGACTACTTTTTCTTTCTTCTCTATCACAGTACATAAGGAGAAAGACATCAGAATGGGAGCAGGCACCCAGTTCTCTTAAATTATTCTAACCACACCTTTACAGATTTGACTGACACACTAAAAATTCTTCTGGAATATTTAAGAACCTATTTCTGAGTGAAAGAGGCTGACAGCCCTCTAAGGACAGTGACTCACCTAGCAAGAATAATCCTTGCAGTGCTAAGGAGGACATAATGGCAGGTAGGATTGCACGTCCGTGGCTCTGTGTCACTACTGAAGGAGCACATTGTTTTCAGAAAGCTGACCGGGAGAAAATCTCAGCATTGAATCAAGGAATTTTTGGTCATTGGTTTATAACGTCCACTGCCATTTCTTGAGCTTCTTGAAGTCTTGGTGGTGGTTTGAATACATGAGCTTCTCAAGGGAAACTGACTTCATCTTTGACTCTACCAAACAGCTTCCAGACAATGAGTAGAGCAAACTAATTAGTGGTTTTCACTGTCTGGTGTATACTTCTGACTCACATCCATTTCTACAGGAGACACTCAAATCTGTGTCTTTGTAGCCTCTTGGAATAAACAGTCCTAAGGAACACAAATGGGAGTGCCGGACTCCCCATACCAGTGGGAACTGTTCTATGTTTCTTCGTCATGATGTCTTTTAAAAAAAAAAACCAGATTCTTGTACACAGTTCTCTTATGAGAGGTAGGCCATTTTTTAACTTTTATTTTTTGACACAAACATCAGAAACTGCCAAGACAAGGAAGAGAACTCTTCAGTAAAGGCGTGAATGACTGAACTGCATATTTCAGTCATATATGAGGTTTTTATTTTGGAAAATCAAATTTTAACCATATTACCCAATTACAAAATCTTTATTGTTCTGTGTAACAATTCATATTAATTAAGATATGAAGACTGGGGGAGAGGTGGAGGAAGTGATTAAGTAAATGTACTGTACTTTAAAAGTGAAAACTTCATCTGTGTCATTTTGACTGTGAAAGCTGGTCTTGATTGTACAGCTCCTTTTATGTCACTCTTTGGGAAGCTAAAGGAAACACAGCAGTGACGTGTGAAAGATACTTTTTTTCATTATATATATCTAAACAAGTACCTGTGGAAAGATCACGGAGTGATGTATGTTCTTCTGCAGCTCTACTAAACATACGGGTTTAAAACAAATTTTTCATAAGTCATTAAGCAGTTAGTCAAATAAATTGTAAGTTGAGATACTGACTAATGTAAAAATTGAATTTAGAAAGGGAATGAGTTAGTGCTAAAACAAACTAACTTCTAAAGTCTCTAGCACAAAAAAACCTGCAAAATTAGCAGAAGATGGCTGAGGCAATAAGGTGTCTGATGCTGATAGTCTAGAAGAAGAAAATTAAAACACATTAAATGTGTGAGCGGAATTTTTTTTAGATGCTTTGATACTGTTCATTCCAAAGTGAACAGAAATAATACAGCCAAATGGTGAAGAAAAGCTGTGTCTTGCAGCTCTCAGGAGAGCCCACTATCAATCCTTCATCCTGATTTACAGGAGTGGTTCTAGTTAATACACACTCACCATTTTTCACAGCAAACCTTACCAAAACTTAAAGGCACAAATAGGCTGGCCTGGT